ATAAGAAGCAGATAGCTTGACGCTTATTTTTGTTTTCTTCAAGACTCAAAAATATGACCTTATCCACTTGTTGATAGACTGGGACACCAAAGGGCAAACAAAAGGCTGCTTTGACCTGCAGTATTTCTGTCGCATTAACAGAACTACAGAAGGTTTGGGATTTTCCTTTTCTTTTTGCCACTCATCTCTTAAAACCATTAGGAACGGTTCCATATTCTCTGGAGCAAATAAAAACCTGCATTGGGAATCAAAAGTTTTTTAATTTGCCCAGCACTAAGAGTGATGAGGTTGTCTGATTATTTTAAGTTTTACAAACCTAAGAGTGGAGGTGAGCTGCTCTTTTGATACTTTAGTTAGTAGATAGCAAACTATTAAATATCACAAGGTTGTGTTTGACATAATGTTTTTAGAAAACATCGTGTTTAGCCAGGTCTGATACAGCTGTGTGCATTAAGTCAGCTTAGAGCTTAGATGAGTGGTTTTTTTATACTCAAAGAGTTTAGATGCAGAAGTTTTAAAATATATAGAGATAATGCATAATGATCTCATTAATGCTTGTAGTAATTACCATTCCTTAGTAAAAGATTCTGTTGGAATTACCCAGTAAACATTAAACTTTTAGAATCAGAGAACCCCGACTCTAATACTCTAGATAGAGTACAAAGTAAGGTGCCTATAATACAGTGATTTTAAAAATGAATAAAGAATGAATAAATGCAAGTTCATTGCAGACTTTGAGATCTTTTAAATTACTATTTCTATTTAGATTTGGAGGAATTAAAGGTAAATTTTCCCAAGTATTTGTAATTTGCTGGGAGATCATATACTTACCTGGATACAGAAGAAGTGCCAGCTCCCTCTCCACCTCCCACTCTGAGAGCATGGGTGCTCAATTCCTGTCAAAGCACTGGGCGTAGCTACACCTCTTCCCCATTCGTCCTTCTTACGTGATACAAGGCAGAGAAGCTCCGCTCTACCAGCTGGAAGATTTGCCTTGTGGTTCCCCAAAACAGGAGTCTCAGTACCCACTCTTCCAGGTCTTTAGGAGTGAATCTTTATGCTGGGGCTCTCAGAACTCCTCTGGGCACCCTCATAATCTGCTCCCTCATAATGAAGGAAGAACACCTCACCGT